GGGTTCAGGCAATTCTCCTGCCCCAGCCTCCTGAGTCGCTGGGATTACAGGCATGCACCACCATGCCCAGCTATACCCTGAAATTTAAAATATTCCAAGGCAGTTGGGAGTTCCTCCATGGTGCCCTGATACATCTTGTTACATGATTTGGTAGCCACAGGACTAGCAGGTTTATTCAGATCACCTTTTCAGAAAGTTTTCTAGTGCTACAGCTGATCGCAGAAGATCAAAATAGCTTATGGTTTCCCTGAGCAGTGAGTATGTGTGAGGTGAGACACAGAGCTTGGTGTCAGACATTTGCAGGCAGGGTGTTTGATACCTAAGAAGGAAAAACTGCTTAATTTATGAACTTAGGAACTACTTTTTTCCTTACCATAGTAGAACTTTGATGTCTCATTCCTCACGTATTACAAATAGATTTTTTATTTTTTTGAGTTGGAGTCCCTGTCACCCAGGCAGCTGGAGTGCAATGGCGAATCTCAGCTCACTGCAATCTCTGCTTTCCAGGTTCAAGCAATTCTGCCTCAACCTCCCGAGTAGCTGGGATTATAGGAGCCCACCATCATGCCCAACTAATTTTTGTATTTTTGGTAGAAGATGGGGTTTCACTGTTGGCGAGGCTGGTCTCTTTGGTCAGGCTGGTTTTGAACTCCTGACATCATGATGCGCTCACCTCAGCCTCCCTCACTGCAACCTCTGCCTCCAGGGTTAAAGCAGTTGTACTGTTTCAGCTTCCTGAATGGCTGGGATTACAGGCACCCACCACAGCGCACAGCTAATTTTTTTGTATTTTTAATGGAGAAAGTGTTTCATTACATTGACCAGGCTAGTCTCGAGCTCCTGACCTCAGGTGATCCACCCGCCTCAGCCTCCCCAAGTGCTGGGGATTATGCGTGAGCCACCACGCCCAGCCCCATTTGTAGTTTTAATGTATTAGCAAATTTGTGTAAAGGGTCAGTCATTAAATATTAGGTATTACAGGCCCCAAGTATCTCTGTCTCATTCTTTTTTGAGATGGTGTCTCATTCTGTTGCTCCAGGCCTGGAGAGCAGTGGCACGATCCCAGCTCACTGCAACCTCTGCCTTCTGAGGATTTTTTTTTTTTTTTTTTTAGGTGGAGTTTTGCTCTTATTGCCCAGGCTGGAATGCAGTGGTGCCATCTCAGCTCACTGCAACCTTCGCCTCCCGGGTTCAAGCGATTTTCCTGCCTCAGCCTACCGAGTAGCTGGGATTATAGGCATATGCCATCACACGTGGCTAATTTTGTATTTTTAGTAGCGACACAGTTTCTCCATGTTGGTCAGGCTGGTCTCGAACTTTGATCTCAGGTGATCCTCCGCCCTGGCCTCCCAAAGTACCAGGATTACAGGTGTGAGCCACTGTGGCCGGCCTTGGTTTTTTAATATTTAAAAATGCAGGAATCGTTTTTGGCTCATGGCCTAACCACAGGTTTTGATCATTTAAATTTGTTTTATTATCTAGGACATGACGATATTGTTAGCTTGCTAAGGCTTTCATGAATTATCAAACATTGGGTGGCTTAAATAGCAGAAAAAATTTATTTCCTTGTATTTCCATGAGGCTGAAAATCCAAGATGAAGGTGTCAGCAGGGTTAGTTAAGACCTTATTTTCAAATACAATCACATTTTTTTTTTTTTTTTTTTTTTT